AGCGCGTGCATGGCCGAGGCCACCTGCGCCACCGCTCAATGGCGCGGCTCGGATGGCGAAGAGCGCAGAGCATCCTCACCAAGTCGTGACACCCCCTCAACACAAACGGAACGCGCCGTTGTGAGTGCGGACACGAAGACGACACCACAACAGAGCCGCAACAGCTCTCCCCGTAACCTACGGGGCGATGGTTCCGAAGCTGAGAGCCGGTGACGGGCACCTCCGCCTCCACACCCTGCAAACGACCGCCAACCGGAGCGCCGTCGGCGATCAGGCGCCAATCATCGCAAGATGATGAGCGAGGGTGAACGCAACGATCCACAACCCGGAACCACGGCATAGGAAAGCCCCGACAGCCGCGACCGCCGCCAACGACGACCGAGCTGTCGTGAAATATGCCCTCCGAGAGAGACAACCATGGACCCGAACGGCGCCGCAAAAATGTTCGCTCGACCACCAAAGCAGGACTCGCCCATCCCTCGCAAACTGGAAACCACCCAAAGCGTGTGCAGACAGTCCCTTGTAACTCGAGTTCAAGGTCCCAAAACCCACGCCCGGAACGTCGCCTTCGTCGACTGCAAGGGGGCTGCTAAGCACCCAGGCCCCTATAAGAGTGCAAACGGGACTCCGAACCGCCAACCACCGACTGTTTGGCACATCCGGAGRGTGCTCACTGAGCCATCCGCCGAGGGACCTGCACATGTTCCTTTCCAGCAAGCTGACTGAACAGACCCCAATGGCGATGTCCCCGTCGGGACCTCATCCCTTTCCGCTCTCAATAAGACGCCTCTAGACCTTCGATCCTGGGAGACCCCCTTTTCTCGGGGCCGTTCCTACGCCCGAGTGGCAGTGCGCGGTATCTGCTGCCCCCACAAAATCAGACACCTCAAAAGTCCGTCCCATCTCCGTCTTTTCCACACACAAAGGGATAAGGGGAAGGGCCGGGGAAAAAAAATAAATACATTGAAAAAAAAATAAAAAAGGGACGAAACAAACAGAGAAAAGGCCAAGCAGCTTTTGTGCCTAGCGACTCAGATCACGCCGCGGTGTGGGAGTGAAAAGTTTACGGGAAGTGGGGCAGAATCGTGCGTCCGTTGTGGGGTTATGCGTTGGCGAACATGACCAGACACGCACTCCAGAAAGAGAAGGGGGGAAAGAAAAGTCAAGGATGACTTGACAAAATCGTCATTTCAATTTGTGTCGGCCCCGA